ATGTAAGGAGCAGATAACCGCATCTGGGGAGTAGTAGTCTTAATAGGAATGATGGGGGCCTCAGTTGCAATGGCTCCAGCTGAAAAGCCATGGGGTTTCATCTGTCCTGAATCATCTGAGTGTTACTCTTCTTCAAGATGAACTGTGTTTGTGTTACGGTATATAATTATGTTGCTTTGTATATATTTGAAAAGCACCTAGCATGTTTTGAAATGTAGCGTTGAAATGACTTTAAAATGTCAACTCTGTAGTTTCAGTTTTAGGCACAGTTCTTGCAAATTCCTTCTTTTCCTCTCGGACCCTAGTAACTTTGAAGTCAGTAGTTACAAATAAACAAACAAACAAACAAACCCTAAAGCCTTGTGTATCACTTTTCTTTGGGATAGTTGTTGAAATTTAGCAGCTCATTATCTCACATAATATTGTGTTCATAGTGCAATTTAACATGTGGTCTTCAAATGTTATAAATTCTAAAAGATTAAACAAGCACATTAGAAAAGGAATGAAAAGTGCTCTTAAAATCCTGCCCTTATTGTAATCTGATGAAAGAACTCTGCCTGTGGAGACTTTTAACTATGCAGAATTTTTCAGATTTTTTCTTTTTCCTTAAAATAACAACAAATAATGGGAGAGGGTGCTAAATAAATATACCTTAGTAGTGATTGGTTAAATATATTCTCTCTCATCCAAACAACTATATTCTAAGTTGCTTGTAATATTACTACCATACACAAATAGCAGCATGGTTATACTACCTTAACGAAGGCCGGGCGTGGTGGCTCATACCTGTAATCCCAGCACTTTTCAAAATCCCTGTTTTAGGTGTACAGTGAAGATCACTGGTGACATGACAATGTCATTTCCAAGTGGAATTATTCAAGTCTTCACCAAAAATCCAACTCCAGCTGTATTGTGCTTCAGGGTGAAGCTTATTAGCTTTTACTCAGACTAGGTATAAATAAATAATTATTACTTGTCTTAGAGATGAAGTCATTTGAAAGCTCCATGGAATACATTTTTTTAAAGTTGCAACAAAAATTTTTTATTGTAAATTGACAATTTGTATAAATGTATGGGTTACAAAGTAATGTCATAAATTGTGGATGCAATTTGAAATAATTAAATCAAGCTAATTAACATGTCTGGTACTTCCAATACATTTCTGTGATGAGAACATCAATTTTGAAATGTATAATACTCCATTATTAAGTTTATGTACCACACTGTACAACCAAACTCAAAAAAAGTATAAAGCATTCTTCCTGTCTGAGATTTTGTACCCTTTTACCATCATTAATTTTTTTTTTTTTTCCAGGCAGTCTCACTCCACCACCCAGGCTGGAATGCAATGGCACAATCTTAGCTCAAGCAACCTCTGCCCTCCCTGGTTCAAGCAACTCTCCTGCCTCAGCCTCCCCTGCATCCGGGACCACAGGCACGTGATACCACACTGGCCAACCTTTTTTGTGTTTTTAGTAGAGATGGGATTTTGCCATCTTGTCCAGGCTGGTCTTGAACTCCTGGCCTCAGGTGATCCATCCACCTTGGCCTCCCAAAGTTCTGAGACCACAGGTGTGAGCCACCTGCTAAAATTTTTATGAGATAAAATATCAATTTTAAAACAGCATCAAAAAGTGAGCAGGTCAGGCATGGCGGCTCATGCCTGCAATCCCAGCACTTTGGGAGGCCAAGGCATATTTTTCTGTACTAAAAACACAAAAATAAAAAGCTGAATGCAATGGCACGTGCCTGCAATTCCAGCCACTTGGGAGGCTGAGGCAGGAGAACCACCCAAACTTGGGAGGCAGGGGCCCAATGAGCTGAGCCCCCAACACTGCACTCCAGCCTGGGCAACAAGAGCGAAACTTCATCTGGAAGGAAAAAAAAGCATATTTAAGCATCCTCAGCTTGTAATAGAGTAAACAGGTCAACAGAATAACAATTCATGCTGTTGCCTGTGTAATGAACTGTCAACAAGAGAAAGCTGGTCGAAGAAAGGCAGAGGAACTGTGTCTTGTAAGAATTAGAATTGAGGGGCTCTGGCCAGGAGTGGTGACTCACGCCTATAATCCCAGCACTTTGGGAGGCCGAAACCGGCGGATCACAAGGTCGGGAGATTAAAACCAGCCTGGCTAACACAGTGAAACCCATCTCTACCTAAAAATACAAAAATACATGGTGGCACATGCCTGTAGTCCCAGCTACTTGGGAGGCTGAGGCGGGAGAATCGCTTGAACCCAGGAGGTGGAGGTTGCAGTGAGCCGAGATTACACCACTGCACTCCAACCTGAGCTACAGAGTGAGACTCTGTCGCATAAATAAATAAATAAACAAATAAAAGAATCGAGGGGCTCCATAATCATCTGGCACAGTATTGTATCTATGGTTAGAAATGTACGTGATAGGAACTCCAGGAATCTTATGGATTCTTCTTTTAAGGTCCCAGTCAACTGTGACCACAATGGAACACTTATGCTGAGTTACCCTTAAGCAGTCATCTGCATAGGTTCCTTGTGTGTACATGGTAATCATTCAAGTCTTGGATCCTTGGCGATCCTCAGAGCCACTCAATACTTCTGCCCCAATTTCTCAGTGTTAGCCATTACACAATCAGTTATACAAGGGATACACTTGGCATACAGATAGTCCATCATTGACTGTATTAAGTCCAGTTTGGCTTTTATGGAAAAGTTGATAAAGTTGGTATCAATTAGGACATGGTAAGGTGGGCCCAGCTGTATATTATATTGGAAAAATAAGCAAGAAGGGTGTTGGGGAACTTCTGTTTCCTTTCACATGCTGGGATCCTTCTTTTCTTTATTTTTAGGTTTTAATCTATGCTTTTCTTTAAGCTTCTGATCTCTGAGACCAAGCATTCGTTTCCTGGTCGCATACTTCCTCATTTTCTTTTGCTTCCCTGTGTCACGCCACACTCCTGTTTTTTCCCTAATCACCAGTGGCGCGATACTTTTACCTGGAATACATTTTTATGTTAGTCAAACTGTCTCTTTCCTTTCCGGTGGTTCAATAAAGGTAAATGCTGTATTCATGGATTTTAGGGCATAAATCTAAAGCTCTGTGAACTGAGTTGCTTATCATGTAACACTTTGATTTTCCTTTTCCATTACCAAATCTCTTTTCTACTCTAAGTGGTTGTAAAAACATCACAGTTTCATGTACTTCCAGAACCAGGAATGCGTCTTATGTGAACTTTCTTAAACTCATGATGAGTCAGAGAAGGCCAGTCTTCATTAGTAATCAGCACCAAATTCATTTCAAAGAAAGATCTGTGTAGACACAGGATTGGTATGGAGAAAAATATAGTGATGAATTAACTGTGTCTCTTGTGTAGTTGAGTAATAGAATTTCACTGTTGAACCCTGACCTGAAATAGGTGTTTTCTTTAATCAAAGTAGAAAATGAGTTGCTGTAAGTAAAGAAACTGTATTGTGTAACAGAGTTTTTTTTTCTATTAAGTACTAACATTATTTTTGTTTCTGTTCCAAACTTTGAAATCAATGCACCTGGAGAAAATGGAAACTGTTTTCAAGGTCCTTTAGAACATATGTTTATAATTTTTTTTTTTTAAGACAAGAGTCTTGCTCTGTTGCCCAGGCTGGAGTACAGTGGCATGATCTTGGCCCACTGCAACCTCTGCCTCCTGGGTTCAAGTGATTCTCCTGCCTCTCAGTCTCCCAAGTAGCTGGGATTACAGGCACCTGCCACCATGCCCAGCTAATTTTTGTATTTTTAGTAGAGAGGGCGTTTCTCCATGTTGGCCAGGCTGATCTCAAACTCCTGACCTTGCGATCTACCTGCTTTGGCCTCCCAAAGTGTTGGGATTACAGGCACGAGCCGCCGCGCCCGCCTATACGTGTATTTTCTTACATGATTGGTAATGAATCAGGTCTCTTTCATGCCATTGCCGTTAGAGGGCCTCTGGTGCTGGAGTCCTCTGGAGGACTGGGCTGTCAGGGTAGGGGAGGCACAGGGGTGGAGTGAGGTGAGAGGCTTGTCTTTCGTCTTGTGGTCTCAGGGCCTCCCTCTCCTCTCCACATATCCTCTTCATAGGTCTCTCCAGCAGTGCAGCTGGACATCTTACATAGTGGCTTAGGGTTCCCAAAAGCAAGCATTCCAAGAGGAAGCAAAAGCTGCCAGTGCTTTTAAAGATGAGGCTTGGGTCTGACATGCTGTAACTTTTATTGCATTCTATTGGTTAATGCAGGTTACAGTCCCAGTTTCAGATTAGATGAGAACAAGGGAATGAGGCTGGGATCCTTGGAAGCTGTTTTTAGAGATGAACTATCACAGTAATATAACTTAAAATACTTCACTTTAGATAGTTTATGTGTGTTCTAGGGGTGGTAAATTGCACTAACTAAGAATCTATGAGATGTGATTAGCTAGCAGTATATAGGAAGAGCTGTGCCACAAGGGGCTGCCACTATAAGCCCCACTTAGCTATGCAAGTTTTTATCAAAACTAGGCCAGACAGGTGGATGTCTCTTGGTGGGGAGGGATTTCCTGTCCCCAGGGACAATGAGGCTTCCCTAGGTTGGACCTTAGTGTGACGCAGTCCCTCTTGCTGACTCTTCCCACCTCCCCACTGCTCTTCCATCCCCCGTGTCTCCTGGTGTGGTGGAAGAGTCAGGCATGACAAGAAGGAGAGCACTTCCATTACCAAGTTATTGTTTAATGGGAGCTGGCGGCAAGAGTTCTGTCATTTAATCCTCCTTGCTGATGATGCTATATCTAGTGAATGTCAACTGCCACAGTGGTAGCCACGGACCTTAGAGATCAACTCCTGCCTCTAAACCATGAACGTAATCTTCTCTCATCTTCTCTGGCACATCCCTCAGCAAGCTACAAACAGAACTCTGCTTTTTTCCATAAATTACCAGAAATAATGATTTCACCTTTAAAAACTGCCTTCTCGAGCAGGTGTCCTTTTGGTCACCCAGATTTCACTGGTCCTAACTTTCACCAGGCTGTTGTTGCAGAACGTGCCAGTCGAAGCATTCACCAACTGAAATGTGCCCTGAGAGAAGGTGACGTCACTATTGGAGAAGAGGCACCAAAGCCTTCCTTTAGCACCAGTGCAGGAAATGAGGATGCCAGGACAGCTTGGCTCGAATTGCAGCAGAGCCATGCTGGTGAGTATGCATGTCAGTCCTAGCCTGAATGATGCATAGTGAATTTTGGAAACTGCATGAAATAATAACTCATTCATTCTTCGTTCTGCTGCTATGATGTTATTCCAAAACACAAATCAGATAATTTAATGATCTTGCTTAATCTTTTTTCCTTTGACTTCCCAATGCCTATAGGCCAAAGTCCAAAATTCTAGTTATAAAGTAACAGTGTTTTCTTAAGATAGCTCCAGCCTGCCTTTTCAGCTCATCTTGGTATGCTTCTCATGCTAATCATGCATCTCATAACCCATGTTCTAGTTATAATAACCTCCTCGCTGTGCTTTTATGCTTTGACATGTGCAGTGCCTTCTAACTGGAATTGTTCTCATCCTTTTCTGCTTGGTGAACTCCTTCCTGCTCATCCTTGCAGTGTTATCTCCTCTGTGAAAACAAGCACAGTTAGGTGCTTCTTCTTGTAGCACTGTGCATAGCTCTAGGTCTACATACAAACTTATCGTATATCTATTAGTGTCTCTCTCAGGCTTGCTAGAGTCTTAGCTCTGAGGGAGTAGAAATTCTTTTTTTTTTTTTTATGTTGGTCTTTGTATCAGCAGACTTCTTGATGTGTAATATATATTTCAGCAATTTTTATTACTTGGACGGGTGGATGGGTGGTAATAAGCCATGGATCTCAAATAAGGTTAATAACACCCCTGCTTTTGCTCTATAGTTAATCAGCTCAAAGATTTGTTGCGCCAACAAGCCGATAAGGAAAGTGAAGTATCTCCGTCAAGAAGAAAAAAGATGTCCCCTTTGGTAAGTATCAACTTTTCCAACTTGACAAAGCATTCCTTTGTTTTTTGTTTGTTTGTTTGTTTGTTTTTGAGATGAAGTGTTGCTCTTGTTGCCCAGACTGGAGTGCAATGGCTTGATCTCGGCTCACGGCAACCTCCGCCTCATGGGTTCAAGTGAGTCTCCCACCTCGGCCTCCTGAGTAGCTGGGATTACAGGCACGCGCCACCACACCCGGCTAATGTCTTGTATTTTTAGTAGAGACAGGGTTTCTCCATGTTGGTCAGGCTCGTCTCAAACTCCCGACCTCCGGTGATCCACCCGCCTTGGCCTCCCAAAGTGCTGGGATTACAGGCATGAGCTGCTGCGCCCGGCCAGCATTCCTTTGTTTTGCTGTACTGTGTCATTTTGTAGTACATGCTGCAGAAAAAATTTAATCAGGGCATGCTAATAGTGAAAAACATTAAATGTAATTCTCTTCCCTCTGATTATTTTGGCTGAAAAAAATAGATTTCCATGGCAGAGCAAATCTTGATATTTTAAATTTATCATTTACTTAGAAAATGGGAGCAAGGGAATAGTTTGGAGAATTTATTTTGCAACTGTTGGCAAAATCGGTAATATAAATATATAATATGTAATGAATTAATATAAATTATATAAGTTTAAGGAGAATATATGTAAAAGGTAACGTAATGGTTTTAGTGATTTCCGGAGGGTCATGTATATCTTCAAAGCGTTTTATAAGTTACTTAATTTTAATTCTAGCTCTCTGTTGTAATATTTTTTTAGTTTTCAAATTTCAAAATAATACATTTTATTTTTAATTATTTTATTTCTTTGAGATGGAGTCTCACCCTGTTGCTCAGGCTGGAGTGCTGTGGCATGATATCAGCTCACTACAACCTTTGCCTCCCAGGTTCAAGCAATTCTCTTGCCTCAGCCTCCCTAGTATGCTGGGATTACAGCCGTGCACTACCACATGAGGCTAATTTTTTGTATTTTTAGTAGAGATAGGGTTTCACCATATCAGCTAGGCTGGTCTCAAACTCCTGACTTCAGGTAATCCACCTGCCTCAGCCTCCCAAAGTGCTGGGATTACAGGTGTGAGCCATGGTGCCCGGCCACACCTTACATTTTCAATGTGTTTTATAGTTGAGTACAATACCTATATGCTGAAAAGTATGGAGACATTATCACCTTTTTTTCTTCACTGAAATGTCAGAATTTCACTCCTGTATTAACACTTCATTCCAGGCTGACACATACTTTTAAGCTTAATTCCCACTTTAGAGAAATGTACCTCATATGCATATTCAATATTCATAGATTATGGTTTTAATAAAATATTATTTAATGAATGTATTACTATTGGCATCTGGTTTCTAAGATGCTCTTAAGCACGCAACTGGTGGAATGCTTTTAAGTCTACTAGATGAAGTTGCTTTATCTGTCGAATGCTCAGACGTGCTCATTAGCTTTTTAAAATCTGAGCAGTGACACTATGGAGCTTATTGAATCCAGAGAGGCAGGAAGACCTTCATTAAGAGATTGAGTTTAGTACATACAGAGTACACTTTAAAATACACAAGTCTATTTATATAGAGCTATGTAAAAGAATGGAACTTAGACTCTAAATGTGTGCAGTCTGCATGTAATAATTATAAACCATAATAGTAATAGCTTTTTAAGATTGTGCCCTTAGAATGCACTTTTGTAGCCACTGTAACATATTAGAAATATGTTGACATATTGAGAGTAAAACTGAGGCACTGTTAGGATGGAAAAAGAAATGTATTACTTATTATCTTAAAATGCAGATATCTAAACTAAACCCCTTCAAAGCACACACAAATGATTTCATGTGAACATATTTCATACAATTTTAGCTTGAGCTTTTTGTTTTCATATTGACTTCCTCCTGTTTACTTATAGTAGTAATTGATATTTGCCTACCTCTGAACCTATTTCTATTAATGTGGGGTGATTATAATTGTTTGATTTCTACTCATGACTGATAATTCATTTAATTAGAGTTACTTCGGGTTTTAAATTGCTTAAATATACCAAAGTTCTATTTTATTCTGCCATGATAGCTGGTATCTGATTATCATTTAAAATTTCTGCCGTGTTGAGAAAGAAAATGGCTGAAAAACAGACACTGTGTCTCTTTTCAAGCTTTCCTTTGGGTTTGTTTAACTGGTTGGCCCTTGTTTTCCCTTTTCCTGATTTCCTCATCCTTAAAAAGAAATCGTGTGATTGGTATATGATTTTACAAACTATGTCACATTCATTTTAAGATAAGGTAAGAAAGATATACATTAACAGTTCCAGGAATGCTACAGAGCTAAAGTAGCATTAGCGTTTCTTTTGGAAATCTCGTCACTGGACCCCTCAGTGCAGTGTATCTCTACTTTAGGACTCTACTCTTAGAGGTTCTATGCTCCAGAACAGCATACACTTGAATTGTGTTCAATACTAGAGTCAAAAATCAAAAACTACATTTTGCGAATGTTTCCTTTTTTAGGTGGAATTTTATCTCATTGACACAGGCTTGGCGTCAGACACCTCTTAAAGAATCTCTCCTTCAGGGAGCTGCTGCAGCTTTGGCAAATCCTCTTCCATGGCAGTTTTTTGGAGAGCGTTGCCCCTTGTAGCTCAGGATTACTGAATGGAATGTCACTTTTCCAGTTCGTTAAAATACTCAGTTCATTCCGAGCCAGTTATACTACTACTACCCCAGCATTTTTCCATTCACTCTGTGTTTTTTATAACCACTTTCACCATGCATCTTTTAAAAAAAATGATATTCACATCCACAAAACTTGTGTGTTTGTGGAATTTATAGGCTAGAGAAGCAAGTATTTGTGTTAGTCCATTTTCATGTTGCTATAAATAAATACCTGAGGCTGAGTAATTTATTTAAAAAAGAGATTTAATCAGCTCATCGTTCTGCAGGCTGTATAGGAAGTGTGGTACTGGCATCACATTCTGGTGAGGGCCTCAGGAGACTTTGAGTCGTGGTGGAAGGTGAAGCGGAGCAGGCATTTCATGTGGTGAGAGCCAGAGCAACAAGTAGGGAGAGGTGCCACATTCTTTTAAACAACCGGATCTCACCAAAACTCACAACAGGAACTCATTATTATGCGGATAGCACCAGCAACAAGGTATTCATTCATTCATTCACTCATCATGACCTAAACACCTCCCACCTGGCCCCACTTCCAATGTTGTGGGGGGCTACATTTCAACATGAGGTTTGTGGGGGATAAACATCCAAGCTATGTCAATATTATAAGCTACATTGTGATTGATTCTATGTTTATATCACATCAGTGCAAAATTGAGTATGGAGAAGGTAACAACTGATTCTTTGCTAAATCCAAGCATGCTTAATTTGGATTTTTAAGAATTGTTTGTTTGTTTTGCTGTAGGGGTCATCAGAACATGAGGAAACCAGTATGCCTACTATGTCCAACCTCGTTCCTATCATTAATGACCAGTCTCAATATATTCAGCATTTAGAGGCGGAAGTTAAGTTCTGCAAGGTAAGTTTCTCATTAAGAATTTAAAACTAAATAAATTAAAGCTTACATTAATTATACATTGTATAAAAATTTGCTACTATTAATCTTCACGTTTGTAGCAATACATTAACCATTGTTATTATTACCTGATTGAGATACTGATGTGTTACAAGAGCTTGTCAGACTTGGGATTGATACTCTCGATTGTACCATTTCTGACTGCTTGGTTTTCCAGTAGCTCACTAATATATCTAATGATTTCATGATATGCTCTCATATTTCAGAATTTTTTCTTCCTACCCCATTGGCCGTAGCCCAGCAAATGACAAATGCTTTGGAATACAAATACCAATCATTCTCCCACATTTGTCAACCTATTGGAGCAGTGGTACAACAATCAGGGATTCCAAACTAGTGGACCAAATCTTCTCCACTGTCGGTATTAAGGCTCTTCCTTTGACTCTGAGTAAGAATGGTTCATAGGGTACTGATAGTAATGATCAAGAAACCAAATGCATCACATATAGCTTGTGACACTAGAGGGTTATATGTTCAACCGTGTGCAGTTTACTAATGTCATTAATATCCTTCAAGCACCCTTTCCGCAGGGAGTAAAGATTGTCTTGCTGAGAGATCCTTTGTCTCAGAGCTGATTTTTCTTTGTGGCACGGAGCATGTTTCCAACAAATTAATTTTTTGAAATAGGGTCTTGCCCTGTTTTACAGGCTGGAGTGCAGTGGCATGATTATGGCTCACTGTAGCGTTGACATCCTGGGCTCAAGCCATCCTCCTACCTCAGCCTTCCTAGTAGCTGGGACCACAGGTGCACACCACTGAGCTCGGCTGTTTCTTTATTATTGTTTTGTAGAGTTAAGGTCTCATTATGTTGACCAGGCTGGTCTTGAACTCCTGGGCTCAAATAGTCCTCCTGCCTGGACCTCCCAAGGTGTTGAGATTACAGGCTTTTGCAAATGTGCCCAGCCAGATTTTGTTTCTTTTTTTGTTTTGTTTTGTTTTTTTTGAGATGGAGTTTCACTCTTGTCACCCAGGCTGGAGTGCAATGGCGTGATCTCAGCTCACCGCAACCTCCGCCTCCTGGGTTCAGGCAATTCTCCTGCCTCAGCCTCCTGACTAGCTGGGATTACAGGCACGTGCCATGATGCCCAGCTAATTTTTTTATTTTTAGTAGAGACGGGGTTTCACCATGTTGACCAGGATGGTCTCGATCTCTTGACCTCGTGATCCACCCGCCTTGGCCTCCCAAAGTGCTGGGATCACAGGTGTGAGCCACCGCGCCTGGCCAGATTTTGTTTTTTTAATTGTCTTATTGCATTAGCTAAGTAAGACTTTTGAAATGATGTTGAATGGTTGTGAGAGGAGCCATCTTTGCCTTGTTCCTGATCTTAGTGGGAAACTTACTTTCTTACCATGAAGTATGTTAGCTCTGGGTTATTTGTAGATGTTCTTTATCAAGTTGAGAATGTTTCCCTCTATTCCTAGTTACCCAGAGTACAGATGCTCCTTGACTTACAATGGGATTGCGTCCTGATAAACTCATTGTAAGTTGAAAATGCATTTACTATACTATAGAATATTGGTTGTTTACCTCTGTGATTGCACGGCTAAATGGGAGCTACAGCTCACTGCCACTGCTGCTGCCCAGCAGCATGAGAGAATATTATACTGCATATTGCTAGCTTGGGAAAAGATCAAAACTTGAAACTTGAATTATGGTTTCTACTGAATGCATATTGCTTTTGCAGCATAATAAAGTCAAAAAAAAAATGTTTGTCAAACCATTGGAAGTCAGGGACCATCTGTGTTTATCATAGATGGCTGCCGCATTTTGTCAAATCCTTTTTCTACTTCTACTGTTTAATTATGATTTTTCTTCTTCATTGTTGATGTGATGGATTACATTAACTGATGCTCAAATGTCAAACCAATGTTTGACATTGTTACTTAGAGTAAATCTTACTTTATCCTGGTATGTAATTCTTTTTTACATTGTTGGATTTGCTTTGCCAGTATTTTGTTGAGGATTTTTGCATCTCTGTTCATTAGAGATATTGACCGGTAATTTTCCATATAACATTGTCACTTGGTTTGGGTATTAGGTTAATGCTGGCCTCATAAAATGAGTTAGGAAATACTTCCTCTTGCATTTTATGAAAGATACTGTAGACAATTGGCATAATTTCTTTCTTAAGTATTTGGTACAATTCACCACTGAACTTATCTGGTTCTGGTGCTTTCTGTTTTGAAAGGTTCCTCACATTGATTTACTTTTCTTGACAAATACAGGTTTATTCAAATTATCTGTTCTTCCTTTTGTGAGTTTTCATGGGTTGTGTCTTTCAAAGAATTGATTCGTTTCATCTAGGTGACTAAATTCATGATCATAGAGTTGTTCATAGTATTTCTTTGTTATCCTGTTTTTTGAACATTTCCTCATTATCCTTTTAATGTTCATGAGATCAGTAGTGATGGCCCCATTTTGACTTCTGATCTTACTATGTGATGGAATCTAATTGGTATCTTCTCTCTTTTTTTCTTAGCTAATCTATACAGAGTCTTATCATTTTACTCATCTTTTCAAAGACCCAACTTTTGATTTTGTTTTTCTCTATTGATTTTCTATTTTTAATTTCATTGATTTTCACTCTAATTTCTATTATATATTTTTTCTGCTTATTCTAGAATTAATTTGCTATTGGTTTTCCACCTTCTAAGGTAGAATCTTAGATTATTTATTTGAAATTTTTCTTCTTTTCTAATTTTTTTGCACATCTTTTACTGCATCCTTTTAATAAGTATATAGCTTTTTATAAGCTATATTTTAATTTTTACTTAGTTGAAAATATTTCTAAATTTCTCTTGATACCTCTTTGATTCATGTGTCATTTAGAAGGGTGTTGTGTAATCATCAGGTATTTGTGGAGTTTCCCAGCTGTCATTCTGTTACTGATTTCTAGTTTAATTCCACTGTGGTCTGGCAGCATACTTTCCTGTTCTTTTACATGTCATAAGGTTTGTACAATGTGGTCTCTCTTGGCGAATGTTCTGTGTGAGCCTGAAGAAAATGTGTGTACTGCTGTTCTTGAATAAAGCAGTCTAGAAATGTCAATTAGATCCACTTGGTTGATGCTGCTGTACATTTCAATTGTGTCCTTTCTGATTTTGATAATTTCTGACAGAGGATATTGAAATTTCCCACTGTAATAGTAGTTTCATCTATTTTCCTTTGCCTTATACATTTTGATGCCCTTTTATTAGGCATGTATACATTAAGACTTATTACATCTTCTTGATGAACTGACCTCTTTATCATTATGTCATGTACCTCTTTATCCCTGATCATTTTTATTGCTTAGAAATCTGCTTTGTCTAAAATTAATATGGCTACCCCAGCTTTCTGTTGATTAGTGTTAACATGATATGTCTTCCTTCATTTATTTATTTATTTATATTATTTATTTGTTTATACTCTAGCCTGTCACCCAGGCTATAGTACAATGATGGTCTCCACTCACTGCAACTTCTGCCTCCTGGGTTCAAGTGATTCTCCTGCCTCAGCCTCATGAGTAGCTGGGACTACAGGTGCATGCCACCACACCAGCTAATTTTTGTATTTTTAGTAGAGACAGGGTTTCACTATGATGACCAGGCTAGTTTTGAACTCCTGACCTTGTGATCCACCCGTCTCGGCCTCCCAAAGTGCTGGGATTACAGGCGGGAGCCACTGAGCGTGAGCCACTATTCATTTATTTTTAATCTATCTATGTCTTTGTATTTATAGTTGGCTTCTTTTTTGTTCTGAGTTTTTTGTTGTTGTTGTGTAGAGATGGGGGTCTCACTGTGTTGCTTAGGCTGGTCTTGAACTCCTATGCTCAAGGGACCCTCCCACCTCGAAGTAACTGGGATTACAGATGTAAGCCACCTGGCCTGGCTATTGTAGCCTTCTTGTAGACAACATATAGTTTGTTGTTCTTTTTTTAACCACTCTGACAATCTCTGACTTTTAGTTGGTATATTCAGACCATTACATTTAAAGAGATTATTGTTATAATTGGATCAATATCCAACATATTTGTTACTATTATCTTCATTTTCTTTTTCTTTCTTTAAAAGAAATTCCACTCTTGCTGCCTTCTCTGGCTTTTGTGTGTGTGTGTGAGATAGAGTCTTGCCCTGTTACCTAGGCAGTGGCATAATCAAAGCTCACTACAGCCTAGAACTCCTGGGCTCAAGCAGTCTTCCCACCTCCTCCTCCACTGAGTAGCTAGGACTACGCTACAGACATACACCACTATGCCTGGCTAATATTTGTGGGGTTTTTTTTTTTTGCAAAGATGAGGGTTCACTATGTTGCCCATGCTGGTATCGAACTCCTAGCCTCAAGTGATCTTCCCACCTCAGCCTTCCAAAATGCTGGGCTTACCGGGTGTGAGCCTCTGCACCTGTCCCTTCTGTGGCTTTGACTGAGCATTTTATATGATTGCATTTTATTTTTTATTTTTGGAGACAGAGTCTCTCTCAGTCACCTAGTCTGGAGTACAGTGATGCCATCTTGGCTCACTGCAACCTCTGCCTCCTGGGTTCAATCAGTTCTTGTGCCTCAGCCTCCCTAGTAGCTGGGACTGCAGGCGTGAGCTACCACAGCCAGCTAATTTTTGTATGATTGCATTTTTCTCCTGTCTTAGCATAACAGTTGATCAATTGTAGTTCTTCTTTGTTTTCTTTACTGGTTGCCTTAGAGTTTGCAATACACAACTATAACTAACCTAAGTTTACTTTCAAGTAACCCGATGTCACTTTTTGAATTGTATAAATTCCTTTTAATGGAATTCCGAAGACCTCTCTCATCCTTTATAACATTTCTGTCATTAATTTTAGTTATCCATAAACTGCAATTACTATGAACACTATTGCAATTCTGATGTTGAACACAGAGTGTCATCTGTCTAATAAATTAATAAGAAAATATTTTATATCCACTTATTCCTTCTCTAATTTTCTTTTTTTTCTTTATATAGATGGCCGTGTCTGACCTTATCATCTTTTCTCCTTTCTGAAGAACTTTTTAAACATTTTTTGCAAGGCATATCTGCTAGCAATAAATTCCGTCAATTCTTGTTTGTTTAGGAAAATATTTTTCTTTGTCTTTTGAAGGTTAAACTTGCTTAATCCAGAATTCTAGGTTGGTGGATTTTTTTTTCTTTTAATGCTTTAAATATTTCATTCATTTTATTCTCTTTCTGTTTGCGTGCCTTCTAAAAAGTAGTCACAGGTAATTCTTATCCTTGCTTCTCTATAGGTAAGGTTTTGGTTTGTTTGTTTGATTTTTGTTCTTCTTTTGTTTTGTTTTTTCCAATTTGAGACTGAGTCTTGCTGTATTGCACAGGCTGGAGGAGATCTCGCTCGCTACAACCTCTGCCTCCTGGATTCAAGCAATTATCATACCTTAAGCTCCCAAGTAGCTAGGATTATAGGTCCCTGCCACCAAGCCCGGCTAATTTTTGTATTTTTAGTAGAGACAGTGTTTCACCATGTTGGCCAGGGTGGTCTCGAACTTCTGATCTCAAGTGATCCACCCACCTTGGCCTCCAAAAGTGCTGCGATTACAGGCATAAGCCATCACGCCTGGCGTGATTTTGGGGTTTTGTTTGTTTGCCTACTCTGGCTTATTTTTGGATTTTTCTCTTTGTCTTTGATTTTCTGCAGTGTGAATATGATATTCCTCAGTATATTATTTGTTTTGGTATTTATCCTGCTTGGTGTTCTGTGAGCTTCCTAAATCTGTGGTTTGGTGCCTGTCATTAACTCAGGAAATCTTTCAGTCATTATTGACGGAAATATTTCTTCTGTTCCTTTCTTTCCTTTTTTTTTTTGTTCCTGTTATATATATATTTACGTATTTATATTTGTTTATTACACCATTTATAATTGTACTGCAGTTCTTATATAATTTTTCTGTCTTCAGTTTTTTTCTTTATTGCATTTCTGTTTTGGAAATTTTTATTGACAGTTCTTAAAGTGTATTAACTCATTCCTCAGCTATGTCCAATCTACTGATGAGCCTATCAAAGGCATTCTTTATTTCTGTTAATATTTTTTTATTTTGAGCATTTTCTTTTCTTCATAGAGTTTCCATCTCTCTGCTTACATTACCCTGCTGTTCTTGCATTTAGTCTACTTTTTCTATTAGGGACCTTTGCATAGTAATCATAATTATTATTTGTATGTATGTATTAATTAATTCATTTATTTATTTTGAGAGAGAGTCTTGCTCTGTCTTCCAGGCTTGAGTGCAGTGGCACAATCTCGACTCACTGCAACTTCTACCTCCTGGGTTCAAGTGATTCTCCTGCCTTAGCCTCCTGAGTAGCTGGGATTACAGGCATGCACCACCATGCCTGGCTAATTTTTTTTTATTTTTAGTAGAGATGGGGTTTCACCATGTTGGTCAGACTAGTCTCGAACTCCTGACCTCAGATGATCATCCCACCTTGGCCTCCCAAAGTGCTGGGATTACAGGCATGAGCCACCATACCGGCCTTAATTATAATTATTTTAAATTCCTGTTCTGATAATTCTAACATCTCTGCCTTATCTGAGACTACTTCTGATGCTTATTTAATCTTTCCAAACTGTGTTTCAGTCTTTTAGCCTGTCTTGGAATTGTTTGGTGAATGCTGGACATGAAGCATTGGGTAAAAGGAACTGAGATAAGTGGGCCTTTAGCATGAGGTTTTCTGTTTATCTGGTTAGAAGTTAGGCTGTGTTTGCTGTCACTATACATGTCAGAGGCTAAAATTTCCTTCCGTGTCCTGGTTTTGTCTCTTCTCTTGTCTGTGGGTTACCCCAGTGAATTCTTCCTAAATATAATCTGAGATATGTAGTTCTTTGTTGAATTTCTCTGTTAGTGTACAGGAGCCCTAGGTAGTTAGATGTGGGAGTAGGAGACATGTTCAACAGTCCTATGACTAGATCTAAGTCTTTTAGTAAGACTGCGCCTCGGGCTGTGACGTTCACAAGTGCTGCTCAGTCTCCCCTGCCCTCTCAGTTAGACAGGATAGCTAGAGGAAGCCGGAGTCCATGGCCTCCCACATGGAATGCTGGAGGGTGCTGGAGTTGGATAAGTACCTTCCTTTAGGTCAGTTAGGTGATAGCAGTACTCCCGTCAGTTAGGCTCTGCTAAAATAGTTTCCCTTGAGTCAGGCCTGTTACAAAGAGCACAATGTTCTGAGCATATTTCAAAGTGGCTGCTTTTCTTCTTCCTTTAGGTTATGTAGGGAACTTATCTTTTTTTACTGCGAAATCCTGGTAGTGTGCTGGAGATAAAACTGGGGTGGCAGGGCAGTCCCCCTATGACTGGGTCTTTCTGGAATTTTTCTTTTGTTTTTGAGATGGAGTCCAGCTTTGTTGCCCAGGCTGGAGTGCAGTGGCACAATCTCTGCCTCCTGGGTTCAAGGATTCTTTTGCCTCAGCCTCCTGAGTAGCTGGGACTACAGGCACACGCCACCATGCCTGGCTAATTTTTTTGTTTTTAGTAGAGACAGGGTTTCACCATATTGACCAGGCTGGTCTTGAACTGCTGACCTTGTGATGCGCCCACCTCAGCCGCCCAAAGGCTAGGATTACAGGCATGAGGCACCACGCCTGTTCTGGAATTTTTAAACTCTCAAACTTTTTGACCCTGAGCTTCCAGCAAGTTATCAATTACAGTTTAGATTTTCTGTCTCCTGCGGAGGTTTCTGATGTCCTCCAGCAAACTGTGTGTCTCCGTGTCCACTCATCTCTTCAATTTTTGGGCAGCAGGTTTTCCTATGACTTCAGTTCTCTGATGGATCTAAGAAGAGTTGTTGATTTTCAGTTTTTTCAGTGTTTTTCCTGTTGGGAAGATGGGAGTGAGGTGTTCCAAGCTCATTACATTCCAGATTGAAAATTGAATATTTTTTTAATTACAGCTTTTTATTATATCTTTGGGATTTTAAAATATAATAATTGGGAATTTTCACATGTTGCACAGTTGCTTTTGATTACACTAGTAATGAATATTAGGTTAAGTACTATACGATTGATATATTGATATAATTGAAGTATTTTTCCGGAGAGTGAGGTGCCACTTAATAGCTATTCTATTATTGTTGACCTGTAATTTTTTATGTGACATCCGGTAATTCTAATTGTTATTGGTTTATAATTCTTTATTTTATGCCCTGTGAAGCCAAGGAAATACTCTTTCAGAATTCTCCATGAAATGTTTTACTGCAGTTCTCTCCTCTCTGGCTACCATTTCATGGGTAATCATCATGCCTGTCGATGCCTTTCTATCTCAGACTCTCCCTCTATTTAATCTTCCATCACTTTTTAACACATGAATGGTATTTGATCATGGGCAATAATATATCTTACCTCATTTTTCAGCAGTCTACCCCATTCTTTAAAATGTCTTGGATAACCCTTTTAATTAAGGCTTTTCTTTGAGCCTCGATTCCTCGGAGAAAAGGAAATTGTCAGAAACGACACACTTCTGTGAGATGCCGTCAGTGGGCCCATTGCTATATACCCCAGCCTTCTCTTTGTTATCTAGCTAAAGTTTAGATTATCTTGTTTGTCTAAATATAATTATATTTCTGGAAATGGAGAATATAAGTCTTCCAGACTTTAAACCATGCTGGTTCCTCTAATAATTAACAGATGAAAATACTGTTAAATAATGCTTAATGTATTTGGTTTTGCTTATTATAGGAGGAACTCTTTGTCATGAAAAATAGAATACAAGTAATTGTATTTGAAAATGAAAGGCTCCAGCAAGAGCTGAAATCTCAAAGACAAGAGGAGACAATGAGGGAACAAACACTTCTGGATGCATCTGTGAGCATTATTTTAAATCATAAATTTTATTTTAGTGTGAATATTCCCTTCTGCCCTCTCTCCCTGCCTCCTTAACTTCTTAGATTTTCTCCTTGAAGTGTGGCCAAAGTACTATGTTGGTATTTCTTTGAGACCTCAAATATCAAACTTCACTGTGGTAGAATGACTTCTCAGAGGGAACGATATAGTGATATTTGCTAGAGTTTCCTCTCTGAGCATACCATTTCTGCTTTTCCATATGGAAGAGCTGGTCTGAAAGCAGGAAGTATATGATACAAGAAGGACTTTGTTAAGTCTGGAAACTGTTCATTCAGAACCTTCGCTTAGATTTCCGTTGGATTTCTCTAAATTTTCCTTGATGTCTGAAGTCTAGGAAGCCTAATTAGCAGCATGATGTAGACTTGGGGTCCAAGAATCAAAATGTTAGTCTTCCCATTGTCTCTAAGAAGATTGGTGTTTAGCGAGTAATTTTAGAAGGCTTTACATAGCTTAATCCCGTAGGTCCTTTATTTCTTTATTGGTAATTTGAGAAGAGTAGCCTATACCAGGAGTTATCAGTGCAAATTCCTGGACTCCATCCCCTGTGAGTCTGATTCACTTGGTCTGGTTGGCTCCTAGGAATATAAACGTTTATCAAGTTGCCTAAGTGATTCCAATGTCAGTGGTCCACAGTTTGCAGAACATTAGGTCAGATTATCTCTGTAATTGTGTGACACAAGATTATTGTGGTGACATTTAAATAGTGCATAAACTTAGTATTTTCTTATGATTTAGCAGAGTACTTTTGTCTTAAACTTTCTTTAACTGTTTTGCAGTAAGTTATAATCACAGCTTGTTCTGCTTTTTGAGACAAATTTAACTCTCCATGCGGAAGTTTTCATACTTGCCTATTCCAGCTTCACTTTGCAGTTGACTCTGGGGGATTTGCCTTTGTCATCATTAGTAAATCAGCCATTAAGAAAACATATGAAAGTCTTCATGGTTTATTGTGATATCCTCTAATTTTTGTTTTTGAAGTTTTTTTTTAAATTATTTATCTGAATTGATAGTTCATTTATAATCCTAGAGTTGTATATGTTAGGATTTGCTATTGAGAAGCATAGGAGTATATGAACTCTGATAAATGAAGTGGGCTAATTAGTATTTCAGTGTAATGTTCTGCAATTCCATTTAAGTGTATGATCAGTTCTTTTCTCCTCACTATATAACTTTTTCCTGAAGATTTATATAATTATTAGTGGTAAAAATTCCATCTTAGTTGCTTATTATTTTAATGTCAATTTGAGGAAGATATCACCATATAGAAAATACTTAGAAGTAACTTATTTTAAAAATATTCAGTTGCCTTTCTTCCAAATATGTAGTCACTTAGCAAGCAGTGATTCAATTATTCATAGTCTTCAGTATTTATATAATGGCAAAGAACTGGAAGAAGGGGAAGTGAAGTGAGAAAGGAAATTAGACAGCCGAATGAATCAGAGGACAAGAGAAATGAGTAATGCAAAAGGGGAAGGAAATGACGGTAAGAGCACACATGCCTTGTAGCACGAGCAAAGAAAATGTGCTAAACCAAACTACAGGCAGAATCATAGGATGAGGTTTTAGAGCGGTTTTGTTTTTATAAACATTCATCTCAGCTAAATGTAATGTAGATATTGAAATGATTACTGCAGATATGCCAGATGAACTTGACATCTATTTTAATGTTAGTCTTCTGTTATTTGTTATTACTGAATTGTTACCTCCATTTTTTACCTGTGTGAAGTGAAACATTTCAAGGCCAGATGCGGTATCTTACACATGCAATTTGAGCAGTTCAGAAGGATGATCACTTGAGCTGCTGGATCACTTGAGCCCAAGAGTTCCAGACCAGCCTGGGCAACATAGTGAGATTCCATCTCTTAAAAAAAAAAAAAAATTAGCTTAGCATGCTATTGCATACCTGTGTTCCCAGCTACTTGGGAGACTGAGGTCAGAGGAGCCCAGGAGGTCAAGGCTGCAGTGAGCCCTTCTCACACCACTGTACTCCAGTCCAGGCAACAGAGTGAGACCTTGCCTCAATAAAAACAAGACAAACGAAGAACCAGACATTTCGGCAATACATACACAGTGCTGTGTCAGAAGTTATAACATGAACAAAAGTGTTTAGAAATATCTTCTTTTGGGGGGATGGGGTTTTTGTAATGAGTCAGTTAAAATGTTGATGCTTAATCTTCCCTTGCTATATTGAAATTTGCTGATTTAAATATTGATATTCAGCATTTCATAATGCCTTTAAAAAAAAGACAATTGAAACATTTATATGGTGTATTAGTCAGGGTTCTCTCAAAGGACAGAACTAATAGGATGTATATATATATCTGGGAGTTTATTAAGTAGTATTAACTCACATGATCACAAGGTCCCACAATAGGCCATCTATAAGCTGAGGAGCAAGGAAGCCAGTCCGAGTCCCAAAGCTGAAGAACTCGGAGTTCAGTGTTTGAGGACAGGAAGTACCACCTAGCGTGGGAGGAAGATGTAGGCTGGGAGGCTAGGCCAGTCTAGCCTTTTCATGTTTTTCTGCCCGCTTTATATTCACTGGCAGCTGATTAGATAGTACCCACCAGTTTAAGGGTGGGTCTGCCTTTTCATATTTGTTCTCATCCCCTCTCATACCATACTTCAGCCCCCCCTGCCCCAGTTAAGAAATCATGCTAGGTGCAGTGGCTCACACCTGTAATCCCAGCACTTTGGGAGGCCGAGTTGGATGGATCACGGGGTCAAGAGATGGAGAACATCATCGCCAACATGGTGAAACCCCATCTCTATTAAAAATACAAAAATTTGCTGGGCATGGTGGCACACACCTGTAGTCCCAGCTACTTGGAGGCTGAGGGAGGAGAATCGCTTGAACCTGGGAGGTGGAGGTTGCAGTGAGCTGAGATCACGCCACTGCACTGCAGCTTGGTGACAGAGTGAGACTCCATCTCAGGAAATTAAAAAAAAAACAAAAAAACAGAAAAGGAAATCAAAGGTTTTGAATGATCTTCAGGGATTTAACACACTTAGAGATTAAAAAAAAAAAATCTTGGTTAAATAGCATTCAAATTTTTTAAAGCTATCTATGAAAGAACAAAATATCCATTAGACTAGCACTTCTTTCCAAAGGATGATAATATTTTGTATCATAAGTAAATGATCTGTGGCCTACATGCTTCTTCCAATATCTAGAAAATTAGTACCACCCTCCTTCACTGATCTCAAAAAACAACTTTAAATGCAATCATGTCTTAGGGGATTGGCTTCTACCTAAAGTGCAAACTCATTCCGTGGCATGGTATGCTCGTAAGTCCCTTACTTGATTCTGTAGCTTCATCTTCTGACATTTATCACCTTATATTTTGACCTCCAGTAATGTTGAATTGTCTAAGACCCCCCTGTAGGCGCCATGTATTCCATACCTCTACGGCATTTGTCATGAAGTTCTCTCTCCTTAGAATGCCATTTCCATCTAGCTTACCCTTACTCATCCTTTAAGATATCATACCAGTGTCAATTTTTTTCCAGAAAATCTTTCTTGGATTTCTGGGTGCCCTTAGTATCCCTCTGTTTTGGCAGAGGCCCCTGTGCACACCTTTGGCCTGGGACTGACATTATTAAATTGAAATTACCTGCCTAGGCGTGTGTCTCCTTTATTAGACTGTAAACTCCTTGGAGCTAAGATTGATCATGCTCATTTTTGTCCTCCAGTCTCTTAGCACGATGTCTGAACACCATAGGTGTTACACAAATATTTGCACTAAACTGAACTTCCAGAATAGTATGAAACAGAACCTCAGAATACTACTTTAGTTGAATGTAGTTTGCCACAGTCTAGCATGATATGACACTGCAGTATAGTTCAGTGTTTGGGGACCTGTCCTCTCTGTGACTACTACCATATCCTTTGGCCCTTAGCAAGTGTTCAATAATTATTCATTGAATTAAATTAATATAAGTATTCTCCTTCTTGTACATATAAATCCCCCAGATCTTTGGGCTGCTTACTACATTCATTGTTGAGAGGGTGGATATAAATGAACAGCCAATTGAAGAGGCACACAGGGCAAGGTCCAGGATGGCCCCAAGTAGAGGAGCTTCTATCTGTGGAGTTTGGGTACACCACCCTCTTGGCATGTGGATGCATTCGCCAACCCAGAAATTCTTTGAACCTCATCATATAGGATTTTTATGGAGGTTTTATTACATAGGCATGATTAGTTAAATCACTGGCCGTTGATGATTCAGTCAATCTCCAGTCCTTTCCTCCCTTGAGGTGGGGGAGAGGGGCTATAAGTTCTAATCGTCTATGGACTCCAGCCACCAGTCATCTTAACATACAAAAAGATACTTTTATCACTGTGGAGGTCCTAAGACACTTGTGTCAGGAACCAATGACTAAGACCAAATATTTTAATGAAAGGTGGTCCTATCACACTATCACACACAGCACTCAGGAAATTACAGGGTTTTAAGAGTTCTGTGTCAGGAACCAGGGACAGAGACCACATAAATATTTGGATCCAGATTGACAAGTTTCAGATCCTAGTGCTGCCACTTACTAGCCACTTGCCACCTCTATGACTCTACTTGCTACCTCTGTGACTTAGTGTCCTCCTGTATAAAATGGAGGCAACAATGTAACCTATCTATCTCATAGAATTGTTGTAATGATTAAATTAGTTAATATATGTGATGTACATAAAACAGGGTAGAGAACATAGAAGGCAGCATTGTGGCAAAAATTATCAGCCATGCCTTTGTGAAATGTGGAAAATGAAAGACAAACTAAGAGAGAGGCGTGTACTTCGAGAGTATACGTCTTCAGAGGAGTAAAGGATAATTCCATTTGTTGAATGCACTGAAATCTAGCCCTCTTTGCTCATATTTAGATTACTGCCTGTACCTGAAGGAATATGACTTTGCAACACTTGTAGAATATGACCCTGATAGCCTGAAAATGTAAAATGATTCTTGACTTGTAGTGTAGAAGCATATGCTTTCTTTTTCTTTTCATCAAAGGTGAGAATCGGTATTCTGTTTGTAAAGTATGCATGTTTATTAAAAGTTGAATTCAATCGCATAACTGCCACATTTTATTTTAGGGAAACATGCAGAATTCTTGCATTGCAACAGGTGAAGATTCTGGGGTGGGCGACACTGCCAAAAGACCATTTTCTTATGACAATGCAGATTCTGGGAAAGCTGCATCTGCTGGTGAGCAGCTAGAACTGGTGAGTATCTGGGTGCTTTTCTCTCATACATCTTTTTTGCTTTTTCTCTTTTGTACTTTTTTTTTATTCTGGTGAAATATATATAACAAAACTTACCATTTTAACCGTTTTTAAGTGTACAGTTTATCTCCGTGAAGTACATTCATAATGTTACTCATTCAGAAACATTACCCATTTTCAGAACTCTTTGATCATCTCAAAAAACCCTATACCTATTAAACAATATCTCCATTCCCCTCCCCGCCAGCCCTGGTAACCTCTATTCAACTTTCTGTTTGTAAATTTGCCTATTTCAGATCCCTGACATAAGTGGAATTAAACAATACTTGTTTTTTTGGTCTGGCTTATTTCCCCTAGTATAATATTTTCAAGGTTCATTATGTTGTAGCATGTGTCAGAATTTCTTTTCAAGACTGAATAATGTTCCATTGTAAATATATACCAAACTTTATCCATTTATCTGTTGACCAACATTGGGGTTGTTTCTACCTTTTCACTGTTATGAATAATTCTGCTGTGAACATTGGCATACGAGTATGAGTCCATTTCAATTATTTTAAGTATATACCCAAAAATAGACCTATTGGATCATATAGTAATTGTTTATTCATTTTTCTTTCCGCTCCTTAGACTTGATCATTTGAATTGTCCTTTCTTAAAGTTCACCTATTCTTTTTTCTACCTGCTCAATTCTGGTCTTGGACACCTTTAATGATTTTTTTATTTCAGTTATTATACTTTTTAGCTCCAGAATTTCTTTTTGGTTTTTTAATAATATGTTTTCTTGATTTTTTTTTTTTTGAGACAGAGTCTTGGTGTGTTGCCAGGCGCCAGGCTGGAGTGCAGTGGCGTGATCTTGGCTCACTGCAACCTCCACCTCACAGGTTCAAGCAATTCTCTTGCCTCAGCCTTCTGAGTAGCTGGGACTACAGGTGTGCGCCACCACGCCCAGCTAATTTTTGTATTTCTTAGTAGAGACGGGGTTTCACCACGTTGGCCAGGATGGTCTCAACATGTTGACCTCGTGATCCGCCTGCCTCGGCCTCCCAAAGTGCTGGGATTACAGGCGTGAGCCACCGCGCCCAGCTGTTGCTTTTCTTTAGTACTTTGTCCATGTTTTTCTCTTGGCTCTTTGAGTGTATTTAAAGGAATCATTTTAAAGTCTTTCCCCAGTAAGTCCGATGTCTGGTTTCTCAAGGATAGTTTCTGTCAACTTATCCTGTTCGTTTGAGGGAGCATTTTTTTTGTTTCCTTGTGTTCCTTGTTTGTTTTGTGGTTGAAAATTGAACATTTCACTTTTATCATAATGTGATAACTCTGGAAATCTTTAACTCCTTTCCTACGATTTGCTGTCTTGTTTTACTGTTGAAGGCTGTAGCAGTCATTTTGTTTTGAGACTTTTCCAAACTATTTTTGCGAAGACTATTCCATATCATCTGTGATTATTAAAGTGTTCATTCTCTTAGCTCATGTTCAGCTAACGTTTGACAGAGATTTCCTTGAATTCCAGGAGGTGAAAACAAATGCCCTCTATGCCCCCACAAAGTTGGGGGTGGTGGGGGGAGGCAGAGACAGAGGGAGGGAGGGAGAATGGGGGAGAGAAAACGCAACCCACCTCTCCCCATCTTTTCAGATTGGCTCCGTGCTGGGGCATTGACTCCGTGCTGGGGCTGGAGCAAGGCTCCACTTAAGGAGGCTTGCTCTGAGCTAGGGATCAGCTGTAGGTGAAAGCCTAAGGTCTTCTCAGGATGTTTCTGAGTGTGTATCTTTCCTAGGCATATTGTGGCTTTCTGTATCCCCCATACACACAACTGCTTTTGAATGTCCTAATTTCCCAAAGCTCAAAACAATTCTATTTTAAGACCAAATGATACTTTTTAATCCTTTGATGTATGTAACAGACCTTTATTCTTCTTTTGCTAACCTGAAGTCCTCTTTGCATTAAATTTGACATGTCAGAGTTGATCAACAATGATGAAAGAGTAAGATTAACACTGTACATGGAATGTTCCAGGGGAAGATAAAATGAATCATAGTTCAGGTTCTCATTATCATCCACAGATGTTACAGTTTTCTAAAGGCTCTTGGCCCACGGTCTCCCTCCCCTGTCTTAGTCCCTGATCCAAGCTTCACTCTACTCAGGAAAGAGTACAGTTCTTCAGAAATGAAAGTTGGAAAGACTAAGTAAATCGAATCTTTTTCCACCATCTGAGTAGTTTACTGTAGCTACTTAATACCCATAGGATAAAGACGAGTGTGTCAAGTCATCCACAATTTGCGTCAAGCTAACATTCCAGACTAGTTTCTCACTCTTCCCCTGTCACCCTTACAAAGCTTATCTTTCGGCATGCAGACCACTCACTGGTTGCTACTTTATAAACTTAGAATCCACTTTCATTTCTCTTTGAAAAACTGGCTTTGGTTTATGCAGTCCTCCCTCCCAAAATGTTTCCTTCTTACCCTCTACCTGTTGAAATGTTTCCCATCTGCAGGGTATAGTTGAAATGCCCTCTCTCATTCTACTTTCCCCGATAGCATGCCTCCTCTCTTCCCTTTTCTGCATTAGAATTCCTTTCTCTTTTATGCCTTCCCCTAGTACTGTGTTTATGACTGTTAGAGACTGATCTTTTTTTTTTTTTTGGAGACAGAATCTCACTCTGTCACCCAGGCTGGAGTGCAGTGGTGTGATCTCGGCTCACTGCAATCTCCACCTTCCTGGTTTAAGCAATTCCCCTGCCTCAGCCGTCTGAGCTGCTGGGATGACAGGTGCACACCACCACACCCATCTAATTTGTTTATATTTTTAATAGAGACGGGGGTTTCACCATGTTGGCCAGACTGGTCTCAAACTCCTGACCTTAGGCAATCTGCCCACCTTGGTCTCCCAAAGTGCTGGGATTACAGGCATGAACCACTACACCTGGCCCTTTTTTTTTTTTTTTTTTTTTTTTTTTTGTTTGAGATGGAGTTTCACTCTTTTAGCCCAGGCTGGAGTGCAGTGGCGTGATCTCAGCTCATTGCAACCTCTGCCTCCAGGTTCAAGTGATTCTCCTGCCTCAGCCTCCCATGTAGCTGGGATTGCAGGCATGCACCACTACACCTGGCTAATTTTGTATTCTTATTAGAGATGAGGTTTCACCATGTTGGCCAGACTAGTCTTGAACTCCTGACCTCAAGTGGTCCCCCTGTCTTGGCCTCCCAGAGTGCTGGGATTACAGGCACAAGTAACCTTGCCTGGCCTATAGTTTCACTTTTTGCATTTGGATCTACAACCTACTTGGAATTTATTTTTGTATATTGGGTCATAGTTTGTTCTTTTCCTTTGTGTTTATCTATACATCCAAGTACCATTTCTTGGAAAGATAGTTCTTTGCCTTCATGTTAGTATCCTTCTCATAGATAAGTTGTCTACATATATTTGGGTCTGTAACTGGACTGTGTTGTAGTTCATTGTGCTAATACTATACTGTCTTGATTGTTATAGCCTGAAATCTGGTAGACCAAGTCTTCTGACATTGTTCTTTATCCTTTGGCCTTTAGCATTTCCAAATACAATTCAGAATTGTGAAGTTCCAAAAGTCATTTTGGGATTTTGATTGAGATGGCTTTAAATTATAAATTATAGGTCATTTGAGAATCAACATTTTGTGATATTATCTAATCCTTGTAAACTGCATATCACTCCACTTATTTGAGTCATCTTTAATTTTTGTCAATAACCTTTCATAGTCTTCTGAGTAAAGGTTTCATACATCTTTCCTTAGAATTATTCCTAACTTTTTATTTTTTTGCTATCATAAATGACACATATTTTCAAATTTTAATTTTCAAAGTACTCATTGCTAGTATAGAGAAAAGCACATGATTTTTATATTTTGACTGAATGTCACTTTCTTTTGGTTAGTGTTAGCATGATATATCTTTTCTCTCCTTTTATTTTAACCTATTTGTACCTTTATATTTAAAGTGGGTTTTTGCCAGGTGCAATGGCTCATGCCTGTAATCCCAGCACTTAGGGAGGCCGAGGCAGGCAGATCACAAGGTCAGGAGTTCAAGACCAGCCTGACCAACATGGTGAAACCCTGTCTCTACCTAAAATACAAAAATCAGCCATGTGTGGTAGCAGGCACTTTTAGTCCCAGCTACTTGGGAGGCTGAGGCAGAAGAATCGCTTGAACCCGGGAGGTGGAGGTTGCAGTGAGCTGAGATCATGCCATTGCACTCCAGCCTGGGTGACAGAGCAAGACTCTGACTCAAAAAGAAAGGAAGAGAGAGAGAGAGGAGAGAGGAAAGAGAGGAGAGAGGAGAGAGGAGAGGGAAGAGAGAGAGAAAAGAAAGAGGGTTTTTGTAGAAAGCATATAGTTGGATTTTGCTTTTTATTCAATCTGACAATATTTGCTTTTTAATTTGGATGTCTAGACCACTGACATTCATTGTGATTATTTATACAACTGAGTTTAAATACACCATCTTGCTATTTGGCTCCTTTTTTACCCATCTCTTATTTGTTCCCCTTTACCTCTTTTTCTGCCTTCTTTGAATTTACTGAGTTTTTGTTTGTTTGTTTTTTGTTTTTGCTTTTTGACAGAGCCTCACTCTGTTGCGCAGGCTGGAGTGCAATGGCACAGTCTTGGCTCACTGCAACCTCTGCCTCCCAGGTTCAAGGAGTTCTCCTGCCTCCGCCTCCTGAGTAGCTGGGACTACAGGCACGTGCCATCACACCTGGCTTATTTTTGTATTTTTAGTAGAGACAGGGTTTCACCATGTTGGCCAGTCTGGGCTTAAACTCCCGACCTTGTGATCTGCCTGCCTCGGCCTCCCAAAGTGCGGGGATTACAGGTGTGAGCCACCATGCCCAGCCGTGAATTAATTGAGTATTTTTATGATTCCCTTGTACTTCCTTTTGTTGGTCTGAAAAAGACTTTAGTACCAGTATTCACTTGATTACTCACTCCAGAAACCCAGGATTATTCTTAGTGTGTTTTTCTCCCTTGTTATCT